CCTGATTTTAGCGTTGTAAATCTGAAGACTTACCGCAGTCCCACCTGTGAACAGCTGTATGTTAAAAACAACCAAAACGGTTATTAAATATGTTAAAAATCGTAGCCTTGATATTTCTTTGATTCTGCAATTTTTTATACTTAATTAAACACATTTATTTGCAATAACTCGTTTTTGATGTAACCGTTTAAATTTATCTTATCGTCAGTTGATTACTATAACTTGTCATTCTCCAAACCTGTAATCTAATATTCGCAGAGTTGCTTTATAATGGAATCAAAGTTTCAGCTCATTCTGATTTTTGACGTTTTAATACACCTAAGGAAAGGCACCCTAACCGAAATATTGTGCCAATAAAAAAAAAGAAACGAAAAATTTCCAAACACCGTGTGATATAGCCTATACCATTTCCTATCACAGCTCTCTTTTAAACCTTATTTTGGAATATTAGCCAATGAGTTCAGTCCACGTAACCATAACGAATTAGTTTATTTCTTTTCTAACGGTCGCTACAGGCTACTTTTACAGATATTCCAAGACTAATAATAAGTACGTCTAACTTACTTACATACTTATTTGCATAGTTTCTTCTATATCGATAACAAACACGCTAATTAGCTCACAATTTAGCTTACTAACTGACAATAAATTGAATTGTTTTACTGATTACTCATTAATTAATACACTGAAAACTTCGCTAAGTCACTCAGTTGTTTTTATACCATTACTTAATTTCTAGTGACAGTTATAAGCAACTTGGTAATTAAATATTTGTATAACAATGGTCGAAGATAGTGTTTTGTTCTTTTTCTTAATTTTTCAGATTTAAAAATGTAGTGTAGCACGCTGATCTTGTGTTTAAGAACTGGTATTATTTAGCTTAATGGCAATAAATTCTATCATTCTTATGTGAATTCTTTCCTGGAAACAGAGTATAGCACGGAAGAACTAGGAACATGTCATATCTCAGCTGTGATATAAAATGCAATATCTTGTAACAGTTAAAAATTCACAAGCACAATGGTCAGTGGTAAAAAAATCGTCCAAATATCTCAGGCAATAGTATGCAACATAACCAAGATCTCCGTCTGGAAAAGCAAAAAAAGTCACATATGCAGATAGTGCATGGCTGGACGTGGCGACATGGACTGTAATAACTTTGTGAGGCACCAAAATCTTTCCAATCACTAGTATAGAAGTCCGTCAAAAATGACGGGAAACCATTTTTGAATCATTAACGAAAATTATAGAATCTAACTAAAACGAGGTGCACTTACTCTTCACTTATTTCATCAATCTCGAAGTAATTCTTTAATCACCACATTTTTAGTAAAAACTACGCAGAAAAATTAAATGTTATCGTGAACAAAAGTACGTGTGCACTCTGAAAGAGACTTAAATAGCACTATTGGGCCTTTTCACTATATTGTAGGTCAGGAAGTATAAAATATAGTGCGGACATTCCGAAACAAATTTGCAACTCTTTAGACTGTACATAGGATAAAAGATATTTGGTAGCAATAAATGCTTACTTTTCTTTATATTTTAAGACCAAGTAGGTAATATATGTGTTACCATACCAAAATAATATTTATTAATTAACATTGATTCAACACTTAAAACTTTTTAAACACTGACTCGATAACGTTAGTAATAGTAGGCCTATTTGTAGTCTGATTTAACTATTAAGCCTAATACGTAAGGCTTAGCTGAAACACTACTTGGTAAATTTCATTTAGCTTTTGGCTACAACCCAATGTCATGAAACTTCTGAATTAAACTATTTTGCTGTTATATTACCGAAGTCATAGAAATATAAAGAATAAAAAACAAACTTTTCTGAGAAATCAACATGAATATTGAGCATTCAACTTAAACATTATAGTTGGCCTAAGAACAATCAGGTGATAGTTTTGTTGCTAAGCGGCGATGTATATTGCTGAGCATTACCAAAAAAGGAACGCGAAAGCGTTAACGACAGAGTGACAAAGGGAATAAGCCCTTTATATTGTTGCGTCAGCGAGTCACATGACTACAGTGACGCCACGTTTCTAGAACTATCCCGTATCTTGGCGAATGCTCTAGTAATTACTAGATGGAGAGTAGACTGGTATATAAAAGAGGGGAAAGTAGTGTGTGTGTAGATAGTGAGTAATTGATCTGCGGTCAGAAGTATTATTGACGTTCGTCGTTATAGCTTTGTTTAGCGCG